TTCTTAAAATCTTATTGCAATATATTTTAGTCTTTCAATCCTTAAGGCATCTCCTCCAACAAAGTCTTAGCATACAAATATTTTTTTTTTAGTCCTCTCTTTTCCCACTCATCGCTCAAAGCCAGTTTTCACCTAAAAAAATAGGTTTTTTAATATTCACTTTTTATTCCGTAGGAAAAGAGGGTAAGCTTTCCCTTCAGCACCATCAAACTGCCGCTTTTTTCCTCTTCTCGAAGGTATCATTCAGAAAGTCATACTTTTCAGGAATTTTGTTAAATATGTCTTAGAGTCCTAGGAACCAAGAAAAACTTTCTCCTATCAAACACTTTCTCCACTTCCTCCTGCGCATTCTTACCCGGCTGCCAGCTTCTTTGTGGCGGCCATTACGGACCGCCGCTGCACCGTCCTGGGAAAAGGGGGTTCTGCCGGCTGGGGAGGGGGTCTGCAACACCCCCAAACCCCTCTCTGGATCCCCCCTACCTTCAGCTGCCCCTGCAGGGCAGCCTAGCTCCGTACCCGTCCGGATCGGAGCCCCAAAAACGGCTAGCGCGGCAGGGATCGCGCAGCTTCGCAAATCCCTACCCTCGCGAAGCCGACAAACCGGAAGTCCAGAAACTAAATATGCATCTTTGTTCCATTGTAATTCTGATTACATAGCCCATTCAGGTATGTTTTCCACATCACACTTAACAGTACAGAATTGAGTTAAACAATTTCCCCATATGAAAGAGAAAGAAGGAAAATGTATATACTATCATAAAATAATATTCTAAGTCAGTGTAAGATGCCAGTACAATCTTCCTCAAAGTGGTTCCTGCAAATGTGGGGGACTACAATTCTCACAGTTCCCTATACTTTCAATCTGTTGTTCTGCAAATGATTTGTATTAAAACCTCCATGATTCCCAGACACAGTAATTTGAGATTACAGTGTCTCTCATCTGGAAAGCTTCAGATTAGGTGAAAGACTAAATTGTGACTTATATATTCTCTTTTTACCTCAGCAAAAAGTCCCTGAAGAACATGATATCCGAATGTCAATTAAAGGGGAAGTAGTGGAGAAGAGTAATATTAGTGAGAACCAATATAAGCCAAAAGCTCTTACAGAGCTTTCACTTCAAATTTAGAAGTGGACTAGACTTGTGAATCATTATTAAGTCATCATTTCAAGACACTTCTTTACCTAAACAGAGAAACTGAATGACAGCAGGCAGAGTGGGAGCAGGAGTACCAAAGTCAGTTTCCCTATTGACTTTGCTTGGCAGAGAGCACCAGAAATCACTCTTCCTCCTTCTCCTCAGTTGACCCACAGGACTGCCTACAACTTTGCAGGGAGAAAGGAACCACGGACTGCAAGAAAAACTGTGCCATCCCAGCATGTCCCCTAGGGCCCCAAAGAGGAAAGGGCTCACCTATCAATCACTGATGCCACCCAGCTACCCTACCTCGCCAGAAGACGTCAAAGTCAAGCCCTCATCCTTCCCCCACTACTTTCCTATGTTAAGAAATTTCAAATTTCAGCCTCGATTCCAAATTAATCAATTGCTGCTCACTGTTGTGTCTTGCCACCAACCACTGGGTGCCAGGTTCAAAGGAGGTGGGAGAAAAGGGTGAGGATATGCCTCTCCCATCTTCCCTTAAGTTGTGAAACCTATAGTTTCTGGAAAGTGCAGTCAGAAGGCATGGTAGCACTGAAGCGGCCTCAACTTTTCCAGATTTCAATCCCACAAAAGTAATGGGTCTGGGATGTGGATGCATTATGTAGGTTTTATCTTATTTGAGACTTCTTAGTTTAAAGATGGTTGCCCTATGGATGCACCATTTCACCCAATTGGATGTTACAGCAGACAAAAGAGTTTCAGTAGTGTATGGGTGTAAGAGCCATTATGGCTGAGATAACTTTTGGGGTTCTAGTCACATTTCTCTAGAGGGAGGATATTGAATAAAATAAAGTCATGAGAACAGGCAGTCCACACAGCCCTTTTACAGCAAGCAATTAAGAACTGAAAAATTAAACCAGGTGTGTTAAGCAAGTTGAATGCTTAATGCATATATGCTTTATTTGCTTTTGATGAAAGGATAATAATGTATTAATGCATGCATTAATTCAATTTGCATTAGTTTTAGGCAGTATAAGTTTGGGATTGTATCCCTGGATCTCCTGTTGTTCTTTACAAGTCTTTTTGTTTTGTGGAACATGATTAGTAATATGTATCTGCATATTTATTTTATTTCTTGTTCGTTTATACAATTTCTTTTTTGTCCTAAGGGCACTTGAGACAACTAAAACACAAAACTAAAACACAGACACATAGACAAAATATATTTAAAACTATTAAAGTAAATTAATTTAACTAATTACATTTAAATTAAATACCTGATAAAAATAAAATGCCAGGTTAAAAATATTTTGATTCCTTTCCTAAAAGCTGGAGTGGGATGAAGGTGAGAATTGAGCACAAACAAAACAGACCATATTTCAAAGCTTGAATAGACCATTCTCTTAATAGGATTATACTAAAATTGGGAGTCTTTCAAACAGTCAGGCCACCTGCCATTTATGGGTCTGAAGTATTGTGTCTTCTGCTTAGAAAACAGTGATAACAAATATATTTGTTATCTTAAGGTGATAACAGTGATCTTAAGGTGCTTCAGATGTGCTGAACTGATTAGTAGCCCAATTGCCTTGTTTTCCATCATTAGAACCCTCTGATATTTCCTCTTCCCAGGTAGAATGTATTGCTGTAGTCAAATTGACTGTATGTATGTATGTAATATAAGTACACACACAATAAAGATTACAATTAAAGGAGAAAACTTGAATAATGGATCAGAAGTTAATTTTAAGCATGTTTGGCATTATAAATACACTGTATTTGGAAGAGGAACATTTTTTACCTCATAGTCCTGAATCTGATTTAAAATAATGTGCAAGGGGACGCTACAGTGGATATAGAAATGTCTTAGCAAGTGATCTGGATTACTTTCTTACATTGGATTCACAAAGGAGACTTGTTTAACATTTTGAAGAGTTCTGTGAGAAATAAGAAAACAAGTGAGAAGAAATTAAGCCCTTGGACTTTATTTGAGATGATTAAGCCTCCAGATTGTAAAAAGTAAATGGAAGAAATATAAGAAGATCAAGATTGTTAACAGCAAAAGGAAAGCACACAAAATTGATTTATTTATCTTCTATCTATGTACTGTATATAAAAGTGAAATACCACGCATGCACAGGGGTAGGATTCAAAATTTTTAACCAGTTATGTGGGCGTGGCTTAGGTGGTGGGCGTGGCTTGGTGGTCATATGACTGGGTGGGCGTGGCTTGGTGGTCATGTTAATGGCTGGGTGTGGCCAACTCAATATTACTCACATCGAGGCACGCATCTCCTTGCCTGGCCTCATGACTGTGGGGATGCTGCAACAGTCGTAAGTGTGAAAAACGGTCATAAGTCACTTTTTTCAGTGCCATTGTAACTTTGAATAGTCACTCTACACAAGCAAAGTACCAGCAAAGGAGGGGGAAAAAACTCCAGAGATGTTCCTGAGACAGGAAGTCTAGTCTTGCCAAGAATGTAACAAGGGTTAACGGAGAGGCAGTTTCGTAAGCAACACCAGAATGTTTCCTTCCTGCCTTCCTTACAGGATTAGGCCAGTAATTTCTTCTAACAGCTGGTTCTCTGAACTGCTTAGAATGTTAACAACCGGTTCTACCAAATAGGTGCGAACTGGTAGAATCCCACCCCTGCTCATGCATCATCACAGAATCTCCAGAACCTTAAAGCCTACAAACTTGAAATTTGGCACGCATGTTCCTCTTGGCTTCTAGGTGCTCACTAAGAAAAGATTTTTCCAAATGACCATCAGCTCTGATGCTAAGGAGTTCTACACTCCATCTCCACCTGAAAAGAAACCTGTTCCAAATGCAAAAAACAAGCAGAGGAGAGGAGTTTCAGTTTCACTTTTAGTTTCACAGCACCAAGCAGCTTTTACTACAGAACAGTTGAGCTAAGCCATGCCCAGGCTTCTTGCTGTCTCCTCCTTGCTCACACAGCAAATACTGTTTCAGTTTCCAAACAGCCCTCAACTCTCACACACTGACAGGATGCTAGCCAGATGAATACTGATGGATGCTGGTAGGTAGAGGCAGAATTTTTTCCCCTTTATTTTCCTCCCCAAAAACTAAGCCCAACCACATAGTTTAGTAGCGAAGCACAGATATTGAGCTAGTGAAATATATTGTTATTTCTGGTAAAACTTAATGGGTTTTTGCTAATACCAGGACTGAAATGACAAGGTTTTATGGATTTGTGTATGGATAAGTTATTATATTTGAGAAGAAGGAAACATTTGTTGTATTATAAGAGAAGGCGATAAGTTACTAAAATTGTTCCTAATTATTGTTATGAAGGGAGAAATCATTTCTTTATATATTCATTATTTTTTCTACATTTTTTTTTAAAAAATGAACTATTTTTTCCCTTTCTATTTTTAAATTTTATTTAGTTTAGTTTATCTACTATTAAAATGCATTGGATCCTCTGTTAATAAAGTCATTCCTGTCAAGGATTTTGTGAAAATGGAACAGTGCTGAATCTAAAGTCCATAGCCCAATACTGGCAAATTTACACTCCTGACATTCTGGACTTGTTCTCTATTTTACGATTTGTATTTCCAGGTCAAACACACACATGCACAGAGGGAGAGACTAGGAAACTGCTATTGCAAAGTAGCCACGTCACGGGATTATTTCTTAGCAGTATATCAGAGAACAGAACCATATATGGGTGTTTTTTCAGGTCTTTGTGTGTCTCCTCCATCTATAATATTTGTTTACCTATGCCCTGTCTTTTCAAATGTCAGTGTACAATGTGGTTTAATGAAAACAATCGAAATCCACATTGAAATGTCACAGCATTCTACAGCAGTAACAGGTAATAAAGTGCATTCATGCTATGCCTCATAATATTAAAAAAATCCTGCTTTCTTGTTTCCTTTAGCAAGTTCATTGCAGACCGTGAGAGCAGAAGAAGCCTAACCAACAGCCATTTGGAAAAGAAGAAGTGTGATGAATACGTAGGTTTCTCTCTTCGCTTCATAAAGGTTTATTCTTTAATGTTGCAGATATACAGAAACTGCTGAAACTTGCCTGGATGTCCTAGGCAAGAAGAAGATTTGCCATTAGCTACACTTTGCAGGACTGTTCATTTGTGTTTCATTTATGTGATTATATTTATGTCCTTTATGTCCTTCAATGTAAGTTGCATAATTCTCTGCAGCCCACAGTTAATCTTCCTAATGATCAGTGAATGCAGTATGGATAAGGTAGGAAGCAGGGAATTTTTCTTCCAGAATTTTAAATTTACCTAATGGAGACAAATGGTGAAGGCAGATAAACAAAAGTATTTCAAACAGTTAAATTATGAGATCTACTGTCTAACATTTTTAAGAGCTTGAAAAGGAGATTAGTTGTTAATGGGTAAGGTTCTCAATGGCTGCTAGTTATGATGGTCATACTTAAATTCCATTATTATCATCCCTAACTTATGACTACGCTCTCCAATGAGTTGTAGTGAGAGCTGCTGGATTCAAATGACACAATGCACCCTGAACTAATAATAGGCTTTGTGTGAGTCCTGCTGGTGAAATCAACATATTTGGTACAACTGAGCATGTTCCTCTCTTAACAAGTCCAATTGCCAAGACTTGGATGAGCAGAAACATTAAGCCATGCCATCTGACTTTTGGTAGACCACCTCTTTTAACACTTTCACCATATTGATTTCTGCCAATCCTCTTAGAGTCAATTACTATGATTCTGCTTGTAAAAGTCATCTTAACGATGAAGCTTTGAGATGTGTTGTGTAAAAATGAAAGAAACGCTCATGGCTTTTAAAATGGCTTTTAAACAATTTAGGTGAACCTTAATTGATTAAAGATTGATGTGGTAATGAAATTTAACAGGATACAATAGGACCCAGTTGATAGATACTAAATAACTATATATTACTAGGGATTGCATTAAAAATAATATGTAGATATAGCATGTAGGAAAATGCATTAGCCACATGGATGTGTTCTCTTTGTTTTATTATGCAGTTAACATATATGTAGTCTTCTTACAAGACTTCTTATACAACTTATAATTGATAGCTTAGCAACCACTCAAAGCTATGTAGGACCCCCAAAGGTTACTCTCTAGTAGGTTCAAACTTTCAGTAGGTGTCTTGCTCTCCCTCCTATGGTCATGTAACCGCATTCCAAGTGTTCAGCAACTGGCTGGTGTTTACCTTTTTGCAGTCCTGTAGTCACATGACTAAGATTTATGGGGTTTTTTGCCCCAAATTGGCTTTTACTTCTAGTTTTTGGCAATAAAACACTGTAGCAAATAATGGGTTTGCTTCATGACCATGGCATTTGTTTTAATGATTTGATTGACTTAACCATGGTGATTCACTTAATAACTGATGCAAAAATCGTAAAATCAGAAGGGTCACAAGATGATCCACTTATGACCAGTATAATATGGTTATATTGAGCAGATGTAAGTCAAGATACACCTGTATAATGTTACACTTACTGATGTACCTGTCATTTTTTTTCTACTACTGAAATTCACTGGGCAGATAATTGAATGTTAGATTTAACATATAAGTGACTAATGTAATTATGAAATGACTTCTCAAAATGAACATTGAAAAGAACGCTAACAGTTGCCAAGCTTTGAAATTAAGTTGCCTTCTTCCTTTATTTTCCTTCTTCCCTCATTTTCTCTTTTTACAGAGTCCAGGCACAACATCTTTGGGAATGTCTGTCTTCAACCTTAGTAATGCTATCATGGGTAGTGGAATATTGGGTCTTGCCTTTGCTTTGGCCAACACAGGAATTGTACTCTTTACGTAAGTAATTCATATGCCAAATTTCTTTAGCAGTTTGACACAAACAAGGGTTGAATGAAAAATAACCACTTCCATAATTTCAGTTTAAATAGGGAAGTTTTAATAGATGAAGTAAAAAAATTATCCTTAAAAGAATTATTTTGTTGTTAATATTGGTGTCTCCAAGCAATCAACTCCATTTGCTACATACTTTGTCAATGCTGGACAACTTTTAAAGCCACCGTGAAAGAACTCCACTTTTTGTTTCTTCAATGAGGTCCTAATAGTCCTTTCCACTAATTTGAAAAAAATAAATTCTTTTCAATATATCACCTTTACATTTTTTGGACTAGCAATGTACAATACTCACTTCAGCATCACCATAAACAACCTGAATTTGATGTTGAATTTCAATTGGAAAGGTCCTTTGGCAATCAAAACGTAATCATGACACATCGCTTAAAGTGCACTTACTGCAGGCTTTCACTTCACAAACAAGAGCAATAGAAACTTTTCTCAGCAACTTCCTGCCAATTAAAGTCAAAGAACAGAGGCTAAGAAATACATAAGAGCTTCTAGCATATTCAGTACTTCCACTTGTCAGTGACTTACAACTTTGGAAGCATCATTTTTCATTCAATCCTTGCAAATATTCAGCTGAAGGAAAGACACAGGCAAAATTCTATTTTTATACTTTAATGCAGAGGTTTACGTGATCTGTGTTTTCCTAACCAGTGCATAAACAAAATACACTTGTAGTTTCTTAGGTTTTTCAGTGTAATTCATAAATAAAAATATGTATGCAGAATTATTAAATACAAATAAAGGAGTCCCTGCTGATTTTACTCCGCTAGTCATTACCGACTATAGGGGGCAGTGCTCATCTCTGTTTCAAAGCCATTGAGTCAGCACTGTCATGTGGCCAAAATAACCTCACAGAACGCTGTTATTCGGTACCTGTTTATCTAGTCGCATTTGCATGCTTTGAAACTTAGGTTGGCAGGAGCTCACCCTGTTACGTGGTGCTCAGGCCTCAAACCTGGGCTTCCAGCTGACAAACTGCTGAGCCACCACACCAGTCCTTAAATAAAGACACTAGACATAAACATGCACACATAAAGGAAAATAACAAACAACCTACAACCTGTAAATGAAGCTGGGATAAAATGAATTTAAGGTGGGTAAGCTGAAAAAGTGAATGAAACCAGAATGGACAGATAAAATCATTCTTAATTTGAAATGTATGTTTAAACTCCATTCAAAACAGAATGAGTATTCATTTAATATGAACTTCATACATATGTGGGGACTTTTTAATAGTCAAATGGTCAAACATTGCTCTTTAAATTCTAAAGAAATTTTAAATTTGATTCTTATGTAAAGTATTCTAAGCAATAAGGTATATGCTTTTTGGGGACTTCTTTCTAATCAAATAACTATTAACAGTTTTCTTTTTTTTAATGTTGAATAAGCTTTCATAGCTGGGTGCCATGGATACACTAGAACATATTGCTTCCTGAAGTCTTAATCAACATTGCTACGTCAACATGGAAAGGACAATATCACATTATTGTCTTAAACAATACAATGGAGGTGGTACCTAATCAATAAGGTTAAAAATATTGTCTTTTTAAGAGCAAAGATAGTATGCTCTCTTTGTATGACATTTATCTGGTCTGGGTTCTTGCTACTTATTACTAGAAAATAAAAATAAAGATACTAGCAAATGTAGTATTGCTAATATGAATTATCACAGCTTTAAAAAGAAATATTGTAAATGTTTTGTTACCACTGGCTCTCCTGCATTTAACCAGGATAGTTCAGAGTGATAACAGCAAATGGTATTTCTTGCCAGATTTCAACCCTCCAAAAAAATTGGTATAAAAGGATGTTTAAAATAATATATTGGATTCATGGTATACACAACACAAAAATATGCTCAGATTGGTATTAAATTTAAGGAAGGGGATTATGTTTCAAAGAAATGTCAACAAAGATACAATGAGAAGGGTTATGTAGTACATAGATAAGAACTCTGAGAAAAGCTATCTTGAAGAAAGTCAGATAAAGCTTCATTTGTGCTCAACCAAAATAAAAGCAAACCTTGATATCATTCCATCTAGACACCCATTGTATTATTTGAGCTAGATTATTCATGAATCATAATAGGTTTTATCCCACGGTCTGAGGAGAGGCAGATTCCTTCATCCAACTAATTTTGTGGCTAAAACTCAAAAAGAAGATCCTCAACCAAATTCCTTCCTTATTATTTAATGTCAAGAGATGAGAAATTGTTGGTCTATGGGTCAATTGAGAAAATGTTCTGCCCTAACAGGAGTTTCTAGAAGCATGTATTGCTGGAGATGCCTGTTATAATGTCTATAAAATGTGCAATCTGATTCCAAGCCAATTGTTTCGGTCAGATGCTAAGCTCAATAGAGCTAGTCAGTGACCATTATGACCATTCATTTAACAATGGTTCAAAGTTGGGCACTTCCAGTGACGTCTTCCTTGCTGACGAACTGGAGACAGCGATCGTCCATGGCTTCGATCCGTGGACTCCCATCAGAGGGCCCCGATCACCTGAATTTGGGGCCAGAACCACCCTGTAGGGGTGGTGAAGAAGGGGGATACTGCCAGCTGGGTCAAGGGGAGCTGCATCTCCTCTCCTTGGCTAGGCATATTCCCCTCCGAAGATGGCTGTAGCGGTGGTCAAATATGGCCACCCTGAAGAGGAAGAGCTAACCGGGACAAGATTGTGCAGGAGCGATGAAGAAGAGGACAGCACAAAAACCGGGCTAATCAGACGCAACATTTAAATACAAGGTACCCTGGAATTAAAATTTTAAGGAATTTTTAAGGGAGATAATTAAAGCGGCGGACAGAGAAAGTGAAGAAACAATTTTTGACAGCTGAAAGTGGCTTTGAACTTTGAAAGGAGGAAGCCAGAAGAAGATACCTGTTTAAATTGGATAGATATATGATCTTGACACTAAATAGGCATAATTAAAGTTGAATTTGAACATGTCAAAGAAAAAACAAAAACAGTAATTGATATTTGGACTTATTGGAACTTTGCATTTTAAAAGCCCTAAATAGAGAGAAAAAGCAGGAGGAAAAAAAGAGCAGAATTTGGACGTAACAGAGAGTGCCATGTAGTGGTAAAAGACATTATTTTTGACTTTTTATAACCTGGCTCTCTTAAAGGTTGGATTTGATACAAAGTAAGTGAAACCTTGTTACAATAAAATAGAGACCCTAGAAAGTGAAAGTGAAAATATTGAACAATAAAACAAAGAAAGAAGCAGGAAGAAACTATCTTGGGATTGTTTAATGATCTTGGCATAAACTTAAATTTATGGAGATTGGACTATTTGATGAATCCGGGAAAACCCAAAGAGGAATTAATAAAAGCTGATAGTTGGAAATAAACTCTATAGACATTGGTTGAATAAAATTACTGGACAGAAGTATAAAAATGGCAGAGCTTTTTTTGAAATTAAAAATGGAACTAAGAAATATGAAAGAAATGCTATAAGAAAGAGGCAAATCATTTGGCTTTGCCCTACAATTTTTAGAAATGGCAACTCTAGAGTATGAAGAACAACAAGGAGTGCCGGAAGAGGAGGAGCTGATTAAAGAAGATGCCATCTTTAATGAACAATTGGAACAATGAATATTAAAGCGAAGGGGGAAAAGAATGGGAATTAAAAACTGGAGATTTGGGGAGGTAATTAAAAAGGGGAATATTTTGAAAACCAAACAAAATAAAAGGAACAGCAGAGAAGGGAATTGCAGAAGGAAGCTTTAAAGAGGGAGGGGGATAAAAACGAGTAAGAAAAGGAGGGAAAAAACAAAGGAAAAAAGAAGTAATAAGAAACAGAACCAGGAAATAAGAAATATGGAAATCGAATAAAAATGAAAAGAAATTATTTATTTAAAAGACATAGAGACAATGGTTAATTAAGAATTAAGAAAGGGGATTTTGCAAGGTGATGAGGTGTAGTATAAATGTATTAGAAGTAACAAATTATTTAGAAAGTAGGAAAATATAGATTATTAAAATGAAAGATTGGAACTGATACTTCTTTGTTATTGGAATACTAAGAAACAATATAAATCATAAGGATACAAGCAACAAAGTTACAGTCATAAATGGGAGGAGATGGATGATAGGAACGATGAAAAGATTAATAGTAATAGTAATGCAGACTTTGTAAATAGTTTGACAGTGTTGAAGGAATTACTTGTTCAGCAGTGATGGCGTTTCGGAAAAAATGTTCTTGTGTCTAATTTTTCTGGTGTGCAGTGCTCTATAGCATTGTTCTCCCATGAGCTGTTCAGAGCATCCAGAAGCGGGAGGTGCTTCAGACTCTTCTGGAAAGGCTGGGCTTAAAACTCCGTGACGCTCCTCCTCCTCCACGGGACACCTCCTCAGCGTCCCCTGTTTTAGCTCAGCCTTCGTGGTAAGAGGTTGTGCACTCCCTGACTGGAACGGTTTCTGATTCAGCTAGTCAAGATTCAGGTTTGCTCTTGGGTTAATTCAGCTTGCAAATTTCCCCCCCTGTTAATCTGGCGATTTCAAGGCTTGTGGCTGTATTAGGTTATCACCCCAATCAGTTGAGAGCAGCTCTTTGTGACTGGCGGAGCCTGCCACTTCGCAGGCAGTCTGAGACGGCCGCTTCAGGCAATTAGCTTATCTAATTCCCCGATCGTCTTATCTTTGCGGTCTTGCCGGAACGCTCGCAGCCGTGGCTCACTTCTCCTTACAGGATCATTTGTCTGACATTTTGGAGAGTCAGCAGCAGCGGCTCGTTAAACTGCTCAGGCATTTAACATCGGTGTTTCTGCCTTCCCGCCTTTTTAAACGGCTGGCTTCAAGTTCGCGCCTAAATATTACAGGCACCATTCCCCACTGGTTTCCCTTCTTGGGGACCGGGGCAAGTACTTTCCCACTCCACTTTCCTGGGATTATTTCTCTCTTAGCCTGCTGGTGTTGGATAAGCAGGCTAGTCCTTAAGCAGGATTTCCCCCCCGCCTCGCAATTGCTTTTGGATTGTTACATTGGAGCGAAGCCTCAAGTGCCATTTCAAACAGCGGGACGTTTTTGACAGGAAAGGATCCATCCAGGACCTGTATAGCTGGTTTCCCTTGTTGGGGACCAGGGATCCTGAATATTTCTTGCTTGGAGCGCTTGGGGGGTTTCCCTTGCTGGGGACCCTTAGATACTGTTTCCCATATATACGGCCTTACATATAGATATAGGCATATGTATATATATGTGTGTTTGTATATAGAGATATATATATATAGACTTACACTCCTGGAGAAGCGCCCTACTTTCAACCACGGGTAGGCACCACCCCTAAGTACAAATAATAATAATAATAATAATAATAATAATAATAATAATAATAATAA